TTATTTCTTGTTTTCTGGTTATTCTGTGTTTATCTTGTTTCTCTTCCTGTGTATTTTTGACTGCCATTTCAGTTTGGTGATTTTTCTATGATGGTTTTCTCTTTATTTATTATTTGTGTCTCTGTCCTGATTTTCTGTTTAGTGGCTACCATGATGTTACTATGAAAGGTCTCGTAGATGAGATAGTCCATTTTCTGATAGCTTCTTATCACCATTAGCCTAACCAGGTTCCATCTCTTTCCTCTTCCTCATCTAAGTTACTGTTGTCACAAATTATTCTGTTTTGTGTTGTGAGTTTGTGATTAAAATAAAGTGTTTGTAGTTATTTTTGATGCTTTCCTTTCCTTTATCTTTAATGTTATAATTAAGTGTTTGCTAACCTGTTCTGATAGAGAGGTGCAATTTTCTGATTTTGTCTCTTTATCTCCTTGCTCAAGGCTTTGTAAACCTTTGCCTTTTTGTTTCAGATATGAGGGCCCTCTTGATCATCTCTTGTAAGGGAGGTCTTGTAGCAGTGAACTCCCTCGGCTTTTGTCTATCTGGGAAAACTTTTATTTCTCCATTGTATCTGAAGGGTAGTTTCATTGGATAGAGTATTCTTGGCTAAAAGTTTTTGTCTTTCAGAATTTTGATTATATCATTCCACTCTTTTCCTGGCCTGTAAGGTTTCTGCTGAGAAGTCCACTGAAAGCCTGATAGGGGTTCCTTTGTAAGTTATTTTTTTCTGCCTTGCTGCCCTTAATATTCTTTCTTTGTCACTGATTTTTGCCAGTTTTACTAATATATGCCTTGGAGAAGGTCTTTTTGCACTGATGTGATTAGGAGTTCTAATTGCTTCATTTACTTGTAATTCCAGTTCCTTCCCCAGTTTTGGGAAACTCAACTGTTATTTCTTTGAACAAACTCTGCTCCTTTCTTCTTCTCTTCTCCCTCTTGAATGCCTATAATCCTTACGTTGCATTTCCTAATTGTGCCTGATATTTCTCAGAGAATTTCTTCATTTGTTTTTTAGTCTTACTTCTCTCTCCTCCTCCACCTGAAACAGTTCTATATTTCTGTCCTCTAAGTTACTAATTCTGTCCTCCATAATGTCAGCTCTGTTTTTGGGGGATTCTAGATGGCTTTTTATCTCACTCATTGTGTTCTTCATCTCCAGCATTTCTGTTTGGTTATTTTTTTAGAGGTTCAATCTCTTTCGTGAAGAACTCTTTCTGCTCATTAATTTTATTCCTGAGTTCATTGGACTGTCTTTCTGATTTTTCTTGTAGCTTCTTGAGTCTCTTTATGATAACCGTTTTGAATTCTCTGTCATTTAGATTGTGAATTTCTGTGTCTTCAGGATTGGTTTACGTCTTGTCATTTTCCTTCTGATCTGGAGTGTTAATGTATTTCTTCACGGTGTTTGGTGGAGTGGAACTTTGCTGGTGCATAGCGGTCGTGTCTGGTTGCAGATTCCATCTGCCACCACTGGTGAGGGGGACTTGTGTTTTCCGAACCTGCCTCATCTGCTGGAAGTTGTGCTGGTAGGGTTTGTCTACATTTGTTGGCTGCCACTGTTTGTTGGGTCCCACACACAGGTGCAGGTGCTCTGCTGCTGATCCACTGCCCTGACAGACTGGCTGAGTTCATGCACCAGACAGGAGCGTGGGAAGGGGGAGCTTTCTTTTGTGTGCACGTGCACTTGTTCTGCACACATTGGTGGCCTGTCTGGGCCACGGGGCTTGGTGGGAGCATCCACACGGTGGCCAAGCCACCTCAGTGTGGAGTGTTTCTGCAGGCTGGGATGCAACTCTGAAAGCAAAAGTGTTCCTATGGAAGCCTGCCTGCTCCCCTGTCTCCTCTCAGAGTTGTATGCTGGCACTGTGTGAGGTCCCATGCCTCAGATTGTTGCCACTGGGGAGGTGGCAGAGATCTACTTACCGCCTTCCACTGCTCCCTGGGGATCTAGCACCCCCACCTTCAGATGTATGGCTGCATGCATCTCTCAGATATCCTGTTGTGCTGTGTGGATGTCTTCTGTTGGATAATGAATGTCCTTTTGGTTGTGGTCTCCCCTACCTCAGTGGGGAGAGGCTACAGGGACAGCTCACTCCACCATGATGCTGACTGTTTTATTTTTTGTGGATACATGTAGAACTCCTTTCTCTTTTCCCTTATGCTATCTCTAACCTTTGATTTAGTAGACTATGTGTCAGTAAACTGAAATCAAACATTTTAAATGGTGTCTGAGTCTCTCTGATGTCCTCAGAATTCAGAAACAAGTACTTTTAGTGAGTCTCCTTACTTTTCATGACAAAATAGTTATTGGTATAGATCAATAAGCATCTGTCCTTCTTTTTACCTAGATATAATTGAACAAATAGGTTGTTCAGCCAAAGCCATACCAAGAGGGTTATATTTCAGAATGACGCTCTTAATCAGGTATAAGAAGACCATGTTAAGGAGCACAGGGTTGACATTATATATGGAGCTAATGTCTACAAATCCCTTCCCCCAAAACTGGCCTGGTACCTGCCTCCAGGCTCCAATGGGACCAGTGCTGAGTAAGGTTGCTTCCTGGAAAGCCAAGGACCTTAGCAAATTTTGCCGACCTCAAGAAGGGAGGAATTTACCCCAATTTAGTGAAACTGTATGTGAAATCTGGTAGAAAGACTTTCTTGGGCTTAGGCCCCTAGCCTTGGAATAGAGGAGCAAATAATAGAGGCTTTTAAAAGTCAGGGATTCCTTATGAAAGTTTCTGAATAGAAGGTAATTTTTTGGGCCTAAGTAGTTGCTCAGTAATCTAAGGCTCTAGATTTGCAGAGAAAACTTGAGGCCTATATGGTTAAATTGCTCTTGTGTGTAAATACTCAGGCCAAACCTAACAAGACCAGCATTTTCGTGGTCAAGAATAATCTTTATGATTCCAAGGCAGGAGACTATCAGAAAAATTATTTGAAATTTGGAAATAAAGGAACAAGGGAGGCACCGCCTCCCTCATCCCAGGGAGAAGCCCATCCAAGGATAGTCTAGGATGGTGGTGCTCAAGTGAGGTCCCTGGGCCAGCAGCATCACCCAGGAACTTGTTATAAATTAAAATTCTTGGGTCCCACCCCAGACGGACTGAGTCAGAAAGCCTGGGGTGGGACCCAGCAGTCTGTAGCTTAACAAGCCTTCCAAATGATTCTGTAAACTAAAGTTCGAGAACTATTAATCTAGGGGGAACGACTTAGTTCAACTTACTGTTTACTGCCAATTAAAGGAATCAGGCGTAGTGAAGTCGCCTGTCACCTTGTAGATTTCTGTTAGAGATGCAAATAATTTCTGTCCGGTGGAAAAGAGAGCCTCAAAGTTATTGTTTATGGCCTCTTTGGACATTAACCAGAGTTGCGTCTAACTCAGCAATCTTCTACTAACATTGCCTAAAATACCTAGCTCTTGGAATTAGTTTTAACATCTTACTGGTTTCCTTACTAATTAATGAGTAGAATAAACTCATCGACAGGTGTTCATTTTATGTTTACATGAGAATAATGGTTTTTAAGCTTTTGAAAATTATCATCAATTTATTTCACACCGTGCTGGGAATGAGCCCTAATACTGGGCAGTGCGGGCCTTGACGGCAGGACTCTGTTTGCCTTTGCTCAGTATTTTCTCCTCACATGAAGCACAGTGTCTGATGTGAGGTATGCAAGCTCCGAATAAATATGCGTGCAATCAATAAACGTGACCTACAAGGTGTCTGATTTTTAAAAGAGGAATTTTATAACTGGCCCTTAAGTATTAATTTTGTTGCTTTAATTAACTTGTTTTAGTCTCTATTTCTTAAGGAATTTTTGTAGGGTTTGTTATCAGGGACCCTGACACTACAAGATGATAGAATTGGAAAGGGGATTTTCTTGAAGACATTCTCTGAGATGTGTTGACCGTCACCCGTAGAGTCAGACTAGTTTAGATTCAATCCCAGGATAGTTTTCTTGGTTGCAGAAAGCACTTGTAAGCAATACAGAGTGATGTGGCCAAATGGATCACTGGATTTTGTTACCTTATGGTATGAACAGGAACTAACACTTCACGGATATGTGCCATTCACAGGAAGAGGAGCCAAACAGAAGGGTAAATGGTTTTAGGCAAATCCATCAGAAGTGCTAGAAAAGCAATTACAAGTTTATGCCCAGCTGACAGTAGGTGAAATACTATTTTCACATTACTTAGATTACCTTTGGGGTGAACGCCTATCGTTTTTCTCTCCCCTTGGTTTTCCTTTTGGCAGCCTTTGCCTCCTGCATGCCAGGTGCTCAGGGGGCAATGGTGGATTGCTGACCAGTCATCCTCTTCTCCCCCCAACTCCAAATAGCAGTGCATTTATATGCCACGCTAACAGATTTCTGCCTCCTGGGAATGTAAAGCCTGAGCAGAATGATAAACAGGGGTTTTAAGCTGAACGTTACCAAACCAGCATCCAAAACGACCGGCCATGGTTCCTGGCTGGGGGCCCTGGCCTCGTTTCATTCCTTGGTATTGCCTGCTTCTTCAGCTTTCTCTTCCATTCTGGATCTTTCCATTAATTCCCTTTTGCTTCAACTAATTAGATAAGGTTCAGGTGGCTTACAACCGAAGTCTCATAACTGATACAGCACCTGTTTTCCAGAGGAAGTGATTAACCCACGTCCTACGCTCAGGGGTCAAGTCGACTGCAGCCCCGGCTCTCCCTGCGGGATCTGCAGTCACTCAGCTTCAGTGCTCCTCTAGTAGGACTGAAGGCATCTGACTTTTAGTGAAGAACTGACTTCTCTTTCACGGGGGACTTTTTCTACTGAAAAGCTTATTTGCGAGAGAAAAATATTCTAGGTATACTTCTAGAAATGACAATCTTAAGTCTTCGTTGACTGACTTACATTCAATTTATTTTAATTATATTGTTTGAGCTAATGGAGTGTTCTGGCAGGACAGAGGGTTAAACAAAAAATCCTAAACAAATCCCTCAGTAACCTTATAAAATTAAAAAAAAAACTAGCATGCACACTAACAGAAAAAGTACTTTATTTATTATATCATTTTGTAAACAATCACACTGTGCATTTTTTAATTCAACAATAACAATCTTTTCTCCTATGGATTTATAGCAAACCCCATATAAAGTCAAGGAGTTGATACAAGAGTCAAGATGAATAGGGCAGAATAATTTCTGAACGTGTTAAATTACAGCACTTGATACAAAGACAGATGAGTGTCTGTACCGTAACAATTTACACGCCACAAAACATTAATTTATGATTTTAAATATGCAGTAAAACACATTTATATAAAAAGCATCAACATTAACTTTATTATAAACCAGTGAATTACTCAGAAGAATATTTATTAAAACTTACTAAAAATCAGTAAATATTGCAACTGAGGTAAAAATTTATAAGTAAACAAAACTATCATTTATAAGGGCCCCAAAGTAAACGCAGGGCAGGTAAACGCTTCCTGACGATGACGTCTACTCCTTGATGTTTTGAAGCAGCTTCAATAAATGTGACTCAATAACCTGTTGAACTAGAACAGGCAGGCAATCAGAACCACAGCATGATGAGCACAAAACTTTAAAACGAACTATCAAATTCAACTTAACATCCCCAACTTCTTCCTAAAAGAAAGTTATTTCTAAATAAGATACAGTCCAAGGACGATAAGATTGCAACGCAATACTTAATACGCTTAAAACGCAATCGGTCACTGACTCAGTGATTGCCCAAGTTACGGGATTTTTTGTTCTTGGTTTCTAAATTTTGAAACTGAAGGGCAGTCCAGAGCACAAGGTTGTTGTAAGGAACACAGAAAGGCAACTAAAAAAGCTTTTTATAAGAAAGTTTGCTACAAAAATGTTAAACGCATCTTGCAAGTACGTGTGCGCTTATCCTCCAGCAACTAATTATTTGGGTTGTGAAGAGTAATAGTAACAAACTCATGTCTAGACTTTATCGGAATTTGTTGATTTCGCCCACAGTTAAAAGTACACGTCAGCAGCTGGGGTAACATGCAGCACTCCGCGATACACGTAGTGAAATGCTTTGGACCACCGGTTTGTACTGTTTACAGACCTTCACCAGAAGGAACCCGAGAGTTCTGAAACGCTTACCACTTCTGTAGCCCAAGGCGACAGCTAAATCCATAGAATTATATCCGGAGTCGGTTTCAATTGTTGGGTCAGCTCCATTTTCTATACCAAAATAGAAAAATCTACATCAATAAAATGAAAATATGGCTATGTTTGTCTATTACCGGCTCACGTGCAAACAGCGGGACTGATTTTCAGCAAATGTGGAAGGTGTTTTCAGGACGTTCTGACAGAGGACAGAGAGCAGAGCATTCCCTGTGGGGGCTTGGAGGGGAGACACGCCAAGCAAACAGGCACCTTCTCGCACTGTGGGCAGAGGGCACAGCCGCGGATTCACACGTGACCCCCAAAGACAAGCAGCCAGGACAAGGGCCCCGGGTGCAGGGGGGCTGTGCGACAAGCTGCCTCCCACAGGCGGCTGTGGGGGCAGGGGCTCCGGAGGTGGGGAGCAGCGGGACCACTGAATTTAACAACAGTTCTGATACTCCTGAGGAAGTCCCGGGGAGGCCAGCTTGTGAAAAATAAAACAAAGTCCTCACATGGCACTTTCTAAATATTTTCACTTTTATCTGCTTACCTAACAGCATTTTTACACATTTCACATGATTTCCATGTACAGCATAAAGCAAAGGGGTCCCTCCATTCTGCAAAAAGGAACGGGGAGTCAGTTCTTCAAGGTGAGCAAGAATGGAATAACGCAGTGCTGCTGCGAGAAGTGTTACTAAGAACGAGCGGGTAAAGTAGCTCAGGGTAATCCTAATATTTTGTGAGGAACACTTAAATCAGGACTAATAATTGAGGACATTAACTTTTCCTTCCAGGTGTTTAATTAGCAAAGGTGATTAATTAAGTAATCTTCTAAGTGTTTAATAAGATTTATGATGTCTCCCCAAACCAGAGAAATCCTAGAGTGACAGTAATTTAGAATCAGCATCACAGACTCACCCAATCGTATTCATTGACATCAACTCCACAGTCAAGCAGCATTTTGACAATATCTGTGTAGCCTTTACTGCAGGCCAGGGACAGTGCACTTTCTCGACCTTTTCCTAAAAGCTGCGGATCGGCACCCTGGAGCGGGAAGCGGGGATAAAAGCCTTTTCAAATTCACGCAAACAAGAATATTGTTATTTCTCTCAATAACAGTTACAGCTCCACACTTAGGTCAGTCATGTTCTGGGATTAATAAAGAAATACTGCCAACTTCTACTCGGGGATGCTCTCGTCATCGGGGTGTCTGGATGCCTTCCTCCCTCCCTCTCTCCATCCTCCCTACTCTTCACTCTGGAGTCAACTCCTCCAGGGCGGACAGAGCTGCTCCCACCGCTTAGAGGGGCTGGGCCTGAAGTCGCCTCTCACCACCTCACGTCTGATCAGTCTCGCCTGCCCCACTCCATCCGAGCTCCGCAGGGACAGGAAAAGCGTCTCACAGTCTCTTGGATCCTCTACCATCACACCCAGCTGCCTGGAGCTACAGCAACTTTACTAAAAACTGAGCTGAACTTAAGGAACTGTACACAGACGTTTTCTGAGCATTTTCCTTACATTCTGAAGCAGAAACTCCACCACAGCTATCTGCCCGTGTGCTGCGGCCCACATCAGAGGAGTAAACCCTTCTTCATCCGTATGATTGATAACATTTTCTATTTAAAAGAAAAGCAATTTTTGTGATCTAATTTAACAACCACATACAAATAGCACCTCGGCAATCCCGGCATTCTACAGAGGCGATGCTGTGGCTCAGTGAGGGTCACTCTGTGCTGACTTCTGCTCACTTAAGCCCTATTGTGCGTTGCTGCAATGTGCCGTCTGAGGGTATGAAAATGTGCCCCGATGTACACAGCTGCGTTCAAACAGCGTATTACTGAAAGTATAACCAGCAGATGCGACATAATGCCAGGTGCAAGGCAGTCCACAGAATCCTGGACTCAGAATCGGAGACCAGAGTTTGAGTGTGGCTCTGTCACTTTGCAGCAGTGTGATTCTGGGCACATCATTTAATTTCTCCAATATATGAATAATACCGCGCTTATCTCAACGTGTGGTTGGGAGGATCACAATAAGAATGAGATTACATGCTAGCCTTTAGCATTATGTAAATACCCATTACTATAAAAACTCCAAAATCATATTACAGCTATCTTCTACTCTACAGCTAACACCACTGCCATTGAATTTCTTTCATTCTTGATAGTTTGCTTACATAATATCATGTGACTGAGGACTGAATAATCTGAAACACAGCACCACACAATTCCACCCTGAATCCCATTTTGTTTCCTGGATTCAGTCTACTAGTTATAAAGTCCATAGTTTTTTCCCTATATTTATTTAGTAGATTGAGAATGAAGCCTTCAAATATTTATAAACAAACAGAAATATAACGATGAAGTAAGTCTTTCCTATAAAGAATGACGTGATTAAAAAAAATAAAACTCTTTTATCATGTGCCCTGTATTCAATCAATAATGGTGGGACAACTGGCTAACTTTTTGAAAAATGAAAACACAAGGGCTGGCCCCATGGCCTAGTGGTTAAGTTCAGCGTGCTCCCCCTGGGTTTGGTTCCTTGGGGTGGACCCACACCACTTGTTGGTGGCCATGCTGTGGTGGTGACCCACATATAAAATAGAGGAAGACTGGCACAGATGTTAGCTCAGGGCCAGTCTTACTCACCAAAAAAAAAAAGAAGTCACAAGGGAAAAATAAATTTGCCACTTAAAAATGTTAAGCTTTTGTTTGAAAACATCATAAAGTCAAAGGAAAAATGACAAACTGGGAAAAATGACAAACATAAACAATGAAAAGTGGATTTCTTTAATTTAGATAAGAGTTCACATAAATCAATCTATAACAGGCAGTTCACACAAAAAGAAATCCAAGTAGACTATAATTTAAAAACTGTAAACAAAACCAGTATGAGATACCATTTTTCCCCCATGAGATTAGCGGACATTAAAGTCTGATGACATCCTCTGTCAGGGAGGGTGGGGGAACAGGAACCCTAACTCTGGTGTGAGGACAGGACAAACATCTGGCAATATATATATACAAGTAAAAATTCATATACCTTTTGACGAGCAAATGTACTTGTAGGAATTACCCTATGGATATACTTAAAAAGAATGCCAACGATATTGTTACTTAAGAGCAACAAACTAGAATCAACCAGCTCCAGGGAGACTAGTTAAAAAATAAAAACATAGTATAGATATATATGCAATACACTGCAAAATCATGGACTTATTAAAAAGAATGAAATCAATCTTTATGTGCTTATACGGGAAAATTTCCAAAATATTAAGTGAAAAAAGTAAAGTGCAATGCAGGGTGTATATTCTTCCTCTTATGTAAATAACAAAAAGCACATACATATTCTCACGCATAACCCCAAAGAGAAACAGAAATGTCTTCTAGAAAAGTTTTCTAAAAATAAGAAACTTATAATTCTTGCTTTTGGGGAAAAGGCTAGGGTGGTAAGGGAAACTATAATTTTTAAAATCTACAGTTCTTTTTTTTTAAACTATCTATTGGGTTGTCCTCTTGGTGAGATTATGCAACTATTTTTTTTGTCTTTATACTTTCCTGTGTTAAAATAATAACAAATCTAAGAAATCCTATTAAGTTTGTTTGAAACACATTTTTTAAATAGGCTGTTACCTTGCTCAATACGGGTAGCCAGGTAGAGCATCTCTCCCTGAGCAGCCAACTGGTGAACAGATAAAGCTGAAACAACACCATAAAGCCTCATGTGTTTCTGTAGGGCACACCGCCATCACCTCATCGTTCATGTTTGTGCGGCACTTTCTTCTTCCAAAACAAAAACTATCATTTTATCGTTTAAAAAAATACGACTTCAAATATACCCTAACTTTACAAGTAGCCATTCTGTATCTGAAAATTGACTCTTACATGTTTAAGGTACTTCTGACATCTGCAAAGTGTTATTATCAATGAATGTGCAAACTGTGATGATCAATTATTAACAATGCAAATTGTTATTGATCTTATCAATCACAGAAATGGTTTAGACGCTTAATTTTTAAAATGCTATCACTGTATCCAAATATATAAGGAAGCTGGGTCTAAAAGACACAAAGACACACCTGTCTTTTTATTGACTGAATCCGCTGAAGCCCCAAATATCATTATTTCAAGACTCCATGGGTTTTTCCTAACTTTAGGAGCAGTGAGGTAGTAAATGGAAAACTGGCCTTGAGAGTAAACTCTTGAGTGCTGACCTATTTGGGCCTAACTAGCTGTGTGACCTTGGATAACCGAGTAAACATTTGTCTGTAATACGAGGGATGTGAACCATATGATCTCCAGGTGTTTCTTTTCAGCTCAAAAATTTTATGGTTGGAATATTTTAAGACACTATTTTTATTTTAAAGCAAAGGCAAAGAGGCATTGTTCTATGAGAGTTCATCTGAAAGATTCATATCACTTGATCCTTGCCTTCAGCGATATGACTTGGTGGCCTTCATACGGAAAGGAAAGCAACTGGAAGACACAGGCAAATTTATATAAGGAATACAGAAATGGTTAATAGCTGGGTAAGAGTCACAGACTCTTCCTGGCTTAACTGCTCCAGCATGTGATTCAAAATTAGGAGGGATATAGTATTTTTGAAGCAAAGACAAATATTTCCCTGTGCTTTAGAATACAGATGCATTTACATTATATTCTCAAATATAGCTCCTAACATCATATTGCTAACTGTTTTTCTCTCATTAACATACCCATACTATATAGAATATTTTCTAGTTTATTCAGAAAAATTTCATTTCATTTCTTCTAGAATGATTCTACATTTTTAAAAAAATTGTGGATTCAAAGTTTTAAAAAAGGTAGTTTCTTATTCATACTATATTCAAACTCAAAATTACAGTAGAAACCACTTAGCTTTTACACAATCACTTGTTTATCAGTGATCTAGTTTATAAATGAGGTGTGAAGCTTTGCACCCCAAGACACAAAAACGCTTACAATGTCTTACTCTGCACAAAGTCCAGAATAACTCACTGTGTTTTATAGAAAAACTACAGAGGTTTTAAGAATTAATATTTCAACCTGTATTTGTTCTCAACAGAGAAACATAAAACAGGAAATATGTGAACATGCAGTAACATGTGAAAATGTTTTAAATTACTAAAACTACCAGGGTATCACTTAAGTTTTCCAAAATAGAATATGCAGTTAATGAAAATAATGTTTCAGAGCCAAACTCTTGAAACCATTATACTGGTATCAAGAATTTTTTAATACATCAGTGGGAAATACTCACAATTTGCTAACAGAGGAGTGGTGGAGACCTCGTTTCCTCTGTGTTTGTTGGTTAAAGTAGTCGACTGTTTGATGGGGGAGAAGTGCTTGGTTGTGGAGGGAGTGTAGACGTGCCTCACTTGGATTCCCGGAGAAGGAGACGTGTGGATATTGCACTCAGCTGAGGAAAATAAATGTAAACATATTAAAACAATATTTTAATGACAAAGCATTTCAAAGTTCTATATCAATGTTTACATTAAAAAAGAAATACTTGAGGCATAATATCCTCAACTGTTTCTCAAGTCTGTACTATCATAGTGAAAGTTCCAGAAAAAAATCTATTAATCTTGAGCAGTTTTATTCTGAGATTAGTGTTTTTATTCAATAGATTGTTATAAAAGTAAATCTACAATATGTTGACAGATTTCACTGCATTAAACAATAGGAAGCTAATGCTAACCAAATATTCATGGAATAGGGAATGTCAAGCTGATGCGTTCCTACAAGGCACAAATAATTTTTTCCTCCTATGATTTTAAAAGGCAGGATAAGGAACTTTACTAGGGAATTTGTAAACAAACAAAGGTTAAGCAAGAAATTAAAAAAAAATCAACATGCACTTATGGACATTATACATAACATGAAATTATTTAATTTTGGTTTCTGTGAGATTCCAGAAAAATCATATTAAAAGATGACTTCCAAACTCTTTCCCAAACTCAAAATCCCATGATCAAAAAGGGGGGGGGGGAACCCCAAATAAACAAAAACCAAACAAAGGCAGATATTTATACCATAACTTTCAACCTTTAAAGAGGACAGATGCCACCTCCAGGTCAGAGTTAACCTGATCTTGAATATTTTTACTATCCTCCTCGTTTAAGGACTTCACGAATCGAGAACACACGTTCATATCGAATCGGTTAGGCAATATAAACTTCATTCCCATGGCAACACCCTGCGCGGATCCTTCTTCTGCACTCGCATCCAGCGGCTGTTCTCTTTTGACGTCTGGCACGCCAGTTAGATTGTAACTGGCGGGACATTCCTCCACTATCAGCCGGGCTCCAACATCCAGATTTGCTGATGTAGCCATGATTTCAACCGTAGTTTCAATAATTAAAACATTTCTTGATGATTTCCTCTTAGTTTTATAAGACTGGTATCCAGTATATTCTTGGAATTTGGATGTTAAAAAACCTGAAAGAAAAAAATTAAAAATATTATACCAACTTAGGTGAAAGTACACAAAATAATCATTTTCAATCAAGTATGCAAACAGTGCTCTAATAAGCACCTATACATAATAGAAAGCATATGACGTTCAGAGGTGGAGGAACCTGGGCACAAGTTCAAGTGTCACCACAACCTCTCGAACCCACAGTGTCACTCAAAAAATGGGGATTCCACCATTAATCTCACAGGATCCTCTTGAAGACCAAATGAAATGCAACAACATTCTCACCTCCATCACTAGGGTCCAACAAATTTTAGTTACCCTTTCCTATTCCCAAATATTGCCAGATGGATAAAAGGTCAGGCTATGAAAGTAAACTTTCAAGTAAAAACTTTAACCTCTTACCTGAGGTTCATTTTCTAACATGCTATGTTTATAATGGCTCTCAGTTTGAATTTAAGAAAATATAGAAGTCACACTGTATTCTAGTCTCTTAGCACCTACAATACCCATGATTCCTGGCGAGTGAAGAGCTTTATAAAACCTTGATTATGATGAACTGAAGATTTATTTATTTCTCAGTTTTTGTTCAGATCAAGTGTTAGCAACTTAATGCAGGTTTTGATGAAAATTAAAGTGTAGAGATTATAGATTGGCTTCTTTAGCATCTTGAGGACATTAGGATCAAAGTATAATTTTTGGATCTTGATCTTTATAATAAGTATTATGAAATAAGAATTACTGATTATTCTTCAAATGTAGATCGTCAAGACATGAACTCAATCAATGCTAACTCTTGCACAGATGATAAGCACACCTGTTATTCAATAATTTACTATTGTTTTAAAATGAGTTTTCAGTAAAGTCATTGCTGACACTTTCCTGTAGACCTGCACTGAATTTCAAGAGAAATTCCATTATTGTACCTAAAATTGCTTCTACAAAACTCTAAGACCTCTAAGATATATAATTGTCCTAGATATATAGTCACTGAGACAGGAAGAAAACTAACATCCAGTTAATTTTTTCATGTTAGGGTTTACTTCCTCTTACAAATTGTGAGAGGGTGCAGGGTGTTTTAAAATTGGAATTAATCAGAATTAAAAGAGAAAAATGCAACCAATCACAGTGAAGGTTGGTAAACCACACATTTACAGATAACCATTGTTTACAGTTTTAAAACATTTTCCAAGATTGATCCTTGTAACAATCCTCTGAGTAGTCGTGGCAGGCAATCCTGTCCACTGTAGTGAAGAGAAAAAGGGAGCCCATGAGTTACGGGGACCTATCCAGCTCTTCTGACTTCATCACCCTGTCTATTAAAATAAGAACCAGCACTAAACTAATCCAAAACTTTCAAGGAAGAAAGAGCTGAAGAAATAACAAATAGTAATAATAATAATAATAAAGAAAGCAACAGGTAACAAAGTCAACACACTTTAGCAAAAGGAAAGAATGCAAGCAGAACAGGAAGTGAGCTGTGCTTCCGATGGAGACAGCTGCAATGCAGAGGTCTTTAAGAGGGTCCTGCAAGATACAGCTGTGCTTCCTGAGGGAGGAGCCATCCCCCAGACTGCCACCCAGAGCTGGGCTAAGTGCAACTCCCCGAGCTCTCAGCACCCTGCAAAAATCTCTATTTTAGCGTTTATCATTCTTTTGAACATTTCCATTTCAAATCCCAATGAACTGAAAACTCCTCTAGAACGGGGACCACTCTTACTAATCTTTGCACACCTAACAGTGCTTGGTCTTGTCAGGTGTTCCATAAATGTTGTCTGATCTGAACTTTAACAATGTTTCATATTCTTTTCTTGTCCTGAAACGATCCTGCAGACGCTCAACAATTTGCTGATTAGCTCTGGCTTCCTATTCCCAACATCGCCACTAAGTAGCTGTGCAACCCTGGACAGACAAACCATACAAGTTTTCTGAGACTCACTATTCACCTACGAAATGAAGATGGTTGAAACGGGCATCTCTAGTGCTCTTTCCAGCTCTAAACATCTTCCATGTTAGAAATCAGGGTTTATAGATGGAATTACCAGTGTTTGAGGGGAGAAGAGCACCGGACTCGGGGGAGGAGGGAGTGGAAAGAGAACCCGTATCGTGGCACTACTCCAGAGAGGAGAAGCTAAGTTGACTGATGAGGCCAAAATTCTGAAGAATAGAAGGAGGGGTGAAAAAGATGATCGAGAAGAGGAGGCGGAGAGAAAAAGAGATAAGGCCAAGGAGAGCCAGGATCACCTCGGTGTGTCGGAGCCCAGGGATGAAGGGGGAGCGCCTCACGAGAAAAAGTGCGCAACTGTGCTAGTCCCCAGTGGATGCTCACGACGGGAGCCCCCGGGTCCTCCTAATCCTGGGCTGTCCTGCGAGGGAAGGAAGGTGCATGAGGATGAGGATGCCTCACACCGACAGGCGCCCCGGGTCCCAGGGCAAGAGCCCGCTGCGGGGGATGCTGCAGGCGGGAAGTCCGCGGTGGCCGGCCGGCTCTGCCCGGGAGGCGCCCAGAGCTCAGGCACCGCGGGCGGAAGCTCGGGCTCACCCGCGGCGGGCGGGTCCCGGGGACCCGGGCTGGGGGCTGGCCGGGCGGGAGCGCTGGGCCTCGCGACCACCCTCGACGGCCCACGGCAAGGCGGGCCTTTCCATCTGCCGCCGCAGACTCACTGCAGGCCCCCCGGCCCGGCTTGTTTGGACCCGACGTCACTTCCGATTTCTCCTTTCGTTTTCGGGCCCCAAACCGATCCGCATCCCCGCTGCCGGAGAGCTCCGGGCGTCTTCCCGCCGCTGCGCCGCGGTCCCCGGCGCGAGCACTCCACACCCCGCGCCGCTCAGCCGGCCGCGCCAAGTCACCGGCGCTGGGCCGCGGTCGGCCCGGCCACGCCCCCTCCCCAGCGCCCCGCCCACCGGGCCGGGCCGCGTACCCCGCGCCGCGTCATTCCGTGAGCCTGCGCCCTGACGTCACCTTCCTGCGACGGGCCGGCCGCTCGCTTCGCCGTGTGTCTCGGCGGCTCCTTGCAGGGCCCGCGTGATCTTCCGCGAGTGATCTTGGACTTCCCGGGAGGGGCCCCCGGGGTCCAAGACGTTCTCCCTGGAGCCGGGGGGTCTTGGCGCACCCTCGGGGCCGGCCGAGGTAGGTGAAGGCGGCTCTCTCGGCGGGCAGCGCCGACTCACGCCTGTTCCCCTCGGCACCTGGCGTGCTCCGCGGGATGGCTCAGTCCTTAAGCAGTCTCTCAGGGTCCGCGTGTTTGGCATCGCCTAGATTCTCCGCCCCTACCGTCGCGTCCTCTCCTGTCCGCCGTTATCAGCCCCAGGAGTGATCCGCACCCCCCGCCCCAGGCAGGGGGCAGGTTTCCATCTGTCTTTGCTCGTGGGGTTCCGTCAGTGTCGATGCCCCCCCACCCCAGCATCTCAAGTGGTCAGTCTGTTTTAATAATATACTTAAAGGCCCGGCTGAAACGCACTCTGTGCATCTTTCTGGGAACCGCCCAGTTAGAATTAACAATCTCTTCTGAACCCTCAGTACTCCGTACGTCGCTTAGAGCACATGTTTGATGTTCTGCACGGTAGTGTGCTGGTATATAGTAGGGCCTCTTAGCCATCTTGACCCAGTTTCTCGGGTCCTGACCCTCCGCGATCTTCTTCCTATTCACTCTCACATCACTTCTTGCCTCCGTGCCTTTGCTTGTGTCTGCTCCCCATCTCCCGCCTCCGGTGCTCTTCCTCCCTTTAATCTGGCAAACCACTGCTCCTGCTCCTCACCGCTTCCTTCTCCAGCTCTAGACTATTGCTCTCAAGGCGGAGTTATGTACTCCGTTGCCTATAGTCTGGTAAGGGACTAAGTCCCACAGGCTAGATGTGGCCCAGGACCTGTTTTTGTGTAGCCGGTGAGCCAAGAATGATTTTTACAGATGAACATTTGCAATCTGTTCAGTGATAGGAAACACTAACTTTGAACCCGAAGTAAGTGAAATGTTATCCCCCTGGTCCAAAGAATCCCATTCTTTTCATTCATAAAAAATTGTACTCATAATTATTTGGGGAGTTTCATTAGTAAAAAATTGGGGACATTTTTCTTTCTTGCTGTGTAACTACGTGATATCCTCCATTTTGCCTGCTGGCCTGCGAAGCCTAAAGTGTTTATCATCTGGCCCTTTACAGAAAAAGTTTGTTGACTTTTGCTCTATGGCAATGTTCATATATAGGCAGCACTTGGGATTTTAATTTTGTGTTTTCCCATAGAACCCAGCACAGTGCTCCGTTCCTTCCTTCCACAAACATTCTTTGAGCACTTTAAAAAAAATCTTCCAGACACCAGATGTTCAGTTTAATGGGAAAAAGAGATCATTACAATGCAGTGTGATTAACTGTATTTACGTAAATATGCAGAGTCTAATAGGATCGGAGAAGACAGGTGCAGGCTGTCTCCAGCCTAGGAGGTCAGAGAAGGTTTCCCGGAGGATGTCATCCTTGAGTTGAGCTTTAAATGATAAATAGGAAGTAGTTAGAAAGAAGTAATTCCTGGCAGAGAGGGCAAATGAGCAAGGATATTGAGGCAGGAAAGAGCAGGATGTGTTAAGGGCATAACCAGAGGTGGAGCTGGAAAGGTAAGCCAGGGCCGAGTCACAGTGGGCCTTAGATGCCATATTGAGGAGCTTGGACCTTCTTTTCTGGGCAGTGTTGGGCTTTGTAGCAAAAGCTAGATTTGCATTGTAATTGGGAACTCTGCTGACTATTTGGAAGATGGGTGAGGGAGTCGGGGATACCCTATATTGCACTATTTCAGTAGAGGAGAAGATCTGAATTAGGGCAGTGGAACTAGGTGGAGTGGACATGATGAAGTTTAGAAAGATAGGGAGATAAAATCCGCAGATATTTGTAACTATTTGGATGTTAAAATGGGGAGGAAGAACAAGTCAAGGCTGATTCCAGATTCCTAGCTGGTGCCAATCACCAGCTGAAATGGAGAATATTGGAGTATGTGAGGGCACAGACTGTGTCTGTTTTACTCACTTTTGTGCCTAGAATGGTGTCCTGCACATTGTAGGTACTTGAATGAACAGAAAATTTCCCCCCTTTTAATCATTGATTGCCATGTTTCATCAAAACAGCCTTTAAATATGCTGCCGTATTTATTTCAGTATTACTGAGGCCCTGTTTTCAGTCTTTTTGGAATAGATGATGAGTTGCACCACGGGAATCATTCACCTGATAAAATTGAACCTCTTTTGCAATTGAATAGTCTGCAAAGACATTTTGGCCTAATTATGTGTCAGTTAAAAGTTTTAATTCATTTTTATCCTATTCTGTTACTTTAATTTAGAATTTAATTTCAGAATTGCTGTGTTCTTATTTTCTTTTTTACTGTTTAAACCTTTTAAAGTTAACTTTAAACTTCTACATCAGAATATTAGCTTTTAGTTTAATTGTAAGCGTTTAAGTTTTGTTTTAAGTGTCTGCATTGGGATATTAGCTTTGTTTTCCTATTTCTCGGCATTTGACAAGTCAAGTCCTGAGACTGTGTTCCTAAGTCATCTTAAGTTTACTTTCAGGAAGCTTTTGTCTTTGCAGTTTCACTTTAGCGTCTTCCCTTGTCAGTAAATGATCATTCTAAGCCCTTGTACGTCTCTCTGCTTTGGCTACTGGATGGCTGAGCCGGATTGATTCCCCAGAGTTGTAAATTGGTCGGTTAGGTGTGAGAGTGTTTGTGTGACCTCTGTGTAGCCGAAGAGCTGGTGCGGTGTGGTGGCCCCGACTCTTCTTCCTGCCTCCTTCAGACTGTCTCGTCTGTGTCACAGTGAAGGGGTTTATTGCTCGCTAATCTGTAAGCTGCCACGAAGCCGGTTGAAAGGACGCAGAGTGAAGATCATGACTATACACACAGGTTTATTAATAATATATGTATATAAAATATTTTCTTTTTCAGACGTAGAGCAGAGTGAATATAATTATTTCTAACGTCAGTTTCAAACTATTTACCCTTGGATATCAGTCCAATTATATGAAATTATGGCTGGTTATAAGCCTGTAGCTATTCAAACATACCCTGTACTTGGAGAAAAAATCACCCAAGATACACTGTACTGGAACAACTATAAGGTAAGAACAGATGATAATGGGGAAGGGGGTTGCATTTCTGCCAGTTTCTCCAGTATATGTTATACTTTGAGTACTCTGATGGAGAACTAATAACTAAAGATAATCTATCAGCAGCTTATAGTTTGGGCGGAAAATTTGATCTCTGATATTTTTTCTTGGAATTTTATGTGAAAGTCCATACTGCTTAATCAGTTTAATCATACAAGTGCCTAATACAGAATAGATGATTAATCAGTGCCAAATGAATTAAACTTTAGATTTTGAATCTCATATGCAAGATTTCTTTTTTCCTTTTTTTGAGGAAAGATTTGCTCTGAGCTAATGTCTGTTGCCAGTCCTCCTCTTTTTTCACTTGAGGAAGATTTGCCCTGAGCCAACATCTGTGCCAGTCTTCCTCTACTTTGTATGTGCGATGCCTCCACAGCATGGCTGATGAGTGGAGTAGGTCTGTACCCAGGATCCGAACCCTCCAACCTGGGCTGCCAAAGCAGAGCGCAGAACTTTAACCACTCGGCCATAGGGCTGGCCCGTTTTTTTCCCCTTTTTAATCTAAGTAGGAAGTGATTCAAAACTAATTGTTCTAAACTATCTGTAAAGGCTTACAAATGATTTTTTTTAAAGATGAGCAACTAAATAGAAAAATGGAAAAGGATTGGGATTGGGCGGTTTATGGAAAAAGAAATTTAAATGGCCAATAACTGTATTAAAAGAGCCTCAGCTCCACTTACAATTGAAGAAATGCAAATTGGAACAATAATTTGGGTACTATTTTTCATCTCTTGGGACAATTGAAGCAGTTTGATCATTGCTACTGGAGGGGGGCAGTTGGGGCAGACTTCCTGGAGGGCAGCATGGCAGTATCTGTTAGGGTAAAAGTACCTTTGGCCTTGTAAATGCCACAGCTTGGAACTAACTCAATGAATATACTCCACGAAATTTGCTAAGACCTGTGTATAAAGATGTTCTTTGAAGTGTTGTTTGTAATATTAGAAATCTTAGAAAAACCTGCGTTCCTTAGTGGTGGACTGGTAAAGTAAATTATCATGTATCCTATAATGGATGGTAAATCTATTGCTCATCTGAAATTACATAAGATGTGTTGTTAAGTGAAAGAAAACCAAGGTTCAGTTGGCCTCATGGTATGATTTTTGTGTCAGTTAAAAATACATGGTGTTAAATGTATGCTGTATAGGCAGAAGTTTTTTTTCCCCAGTAATGGTCACAGAAAACTCCACAGCTGAAGAGAAAGAGTGGGGTGTGGCCTTCCAACCATATATTTATTTACTTTAATGGCAACAGGGATAGTCTGGGTGATGGGGTTTGGACCTTTTTTGCTATTCTATGTTAAATATAACCTAGTAAATGTTACTAAGAACACAAAGAAATAGTTGGTAAGAAGTTATATAACGCTTGAATAGATTTTACTAGTGGTAACTCTGTTAATACTTTGTATTATTTTTCATTAAGACCCCTGTTCAGATCAAGGAGTTCGGTGCAGTGTCAAAAGTTGACTTTTCTCCGCAGCCCCCATATAATTATGCTGTCACAGCTTCTTCAAGGGTAAATATAATATTAAATTTATTTTTCTTTTGTATAATTTATGTTTACTGCTGATCTTGAAGCATCTGCTGAAATACTGTGTTTTTTATCTTGTTGTAGATTCACATTTATGGCCGGTATTCCCAAGAACCTATAAAAACCTTCTCCCGATTTAAAGACACAGCGTACTGTGCTACTTTTCGACAGGACGGTAGACTGCTGGTGGCTGGCAGTGAAGATGGTGGAGTTCAGCTTTTTGATATAAGTGGGAGGGCTCCTCTCAGGCAGTTTGAAGGCCATACTAAGTAAGAGACAGGTTTTTGTTTTTTTAAAATTTTTTTTATTGAGGTATAATTAACATACAGCATTATATTAGTTTCAGCTAATATAATGTAATATAATATAATACAACATAATTCAATATTTGTATATATTGTGCAATGATCGCCATAATAATCCAGTTAACATCTGTCACCGTACAGTTACAGACAGTTGGTTTTGCTGTGTCCTTTTTTTGTTTTGTCGTCTTGTCAGCTCTGTTCATTTTCTGGGCTTTAAATAAAAACATAGGGACAGTTTTGTGAAGATCATGTACCTTACGTACTTTATTTCCTGGTTGTCCTAAGACAGAATGCTTAACCTGGTCCAGTCCTATGGTCCAGTTTGATGCGGCTCATGAATTCCCTAGAATTGCATGTGACATTTGAGGAAGTACATTGATGTAGGGAGACGTCCTGTGACTTTCATTCACTTCTTAGTGGGTTCTGTGGCCTGACTGAGATTACAAACCACTGAGCTCAAGGCAGCCTCACAACTGTTAATGGACTGTGTTAGAGGTTCTCAATTTGAAGTCACGTTGGAAGGCAGATTTTCTTTCTTCTTGGATTTAGTATTTTGCCCCTTGATAAATTGGATGTCTAGGGCAATTTTATATTATAAGTTTGTTTCAGGATTACCAATGTCATTGCTGAAATTGGCTGTTGATTTAAAATTTCAAAAGTGTTTTTTATAGGGTATTATCAGGATGGTGTTACCCCATCAGTGAAACATTTAAAATATAACGGAAATTCACTTAACATGATCCTACATAGTAGCAAGTCTCCTTAGAATTTTTTAGAGAACTACTCATTTTGAAATTTTTTAAATTAAATGTTGTTCCAACATTTAAAACATTTACTTTCATTGAGCTGCTAAGTAGAACTGTTAACATATTAGAAAATATAATTTTAAGGCTATTTAATCTTATTAACTTCATAGTGCGGGGGATTTAACATTTTAAATTGGCTTGGAGACAAACACTTGTTTTAAAGATTTTCTTTCTCTCTTGTGGTTTCCTCCTACAGTTACTCCCTGAAACTAAACTGCTCTTTTTGTTATTTGGGGAAAAGGAATGTTTTATGTTAAAAGTGCCAGAAATGTAATTTTTTTTCTTGCTTTTTAATATACTGATTCTTGCCCTTTCAGAGCAGTTCATACAGTAGATTTTACAGCTGACAAATATCATGTGGTCTCTGGGGCTGATGATTATACAGTTAAATTATGGGATATTCCAAACTCCAAAGAAATTCTGACGTTCAAAGAACATTCTGATTATGTGAGGTGTGGATGTGCTAGCAAACTGAACCCAGATCTCTTTGTAACAGGTTGGTGAACTCTTTTTTTTTTTTCCCTCCTAAAGTTGATAATTTTATTATGATATACTTTAATATTGCTTTGGGACTCTTGGAATAGAGGAGTTTAAAAACTTTTTATAAAGAAATGTGTTTCTATTAGTTTTCTTTTCTTTTTCTTTTGGTGGTTGTTCTTACTGCCCTCCAGGTGTGTTTGGAAACGTCAGGCCGCCTTGAAAACATTAAGACAGTCAGGACTGTAATGGGTTTAGCACTCTGGTTTTCACAGAGCCTCAGCAGCCAGGAAACAAAGAGTCTGGCTCAGTGTTTGTGGGTCCCTCTGCAGAGATTCCAGGCAGTCCAGCAGTGACGGGGGCCTGAGGTAGGATGGTTGAAGATTCTGTGGAGTGTAAGGTATATAGTGCTTCCTGAGAGACAGTCAGTGGTACCGGGGGGCTGAAAGTACTGCGTCTTCATGAATATATGTGTATCTTTTTAAAATTGCATCTAATGTTTTTCTCCTTTTAAAATTCATGTTTGAATAAACACAGATGCACACAGAGTTTTTGTTGTTTTAAGTAGTGCAACTCACATAATACAAAATTGACATTTTAGGGTCATACGATCATACTGTGAAGATGTTTGATGCCCGAACAAGTCAGAGTGTTATCTCTGTTGAGCATGGGCAGCCAGTGGAGAGCGTCCTGCTTTTTCCCTCTGGAGGTCTTCTGGTATCAGCAGGTATTTCTTTTCAAAATTACTTTCACCAGTATGTTGGTCTTGAGTCAGATTTTTCTTTATCTGTTACTTTTTGTAATTTATCAGTGTGAACTTGAATTGCATATCTAGGTTTTTGCTCAAACAGTTGGTAAGTGGGACAGGCAAGCAGTTATTAATTGAGTACCTAGTGTGGGCCAATACACATAGGATCTCTACTGTCCTAGATGAGCCTACAAAGTGGTTAGTTTTCTCCCCATTTTGCAACTAAGGACATAAATAAAAGTATTTAGTAATTTGTCCAAGACAAAGTGGTCACTGGCAGGTCTGGAATCCCGGAACTTGAGAGCCTGCATCGTGTACTTAGTTAACCCAGAAGTCCGGGTCATACTCCTGCTCTTACTCCTGCCTGAGAGACCTGTGGCAGCTTTTGAAAGACAGGTTCTTCCAGATCTGGAGTCAGCCTTGTCCCTTATATGATGCCGGGTTGAAATGTGGTAGTGCTGGAGGAGAAGATCGTGTGGAGTCAAAGGGGCCTTGGTACAGTTTTCATCAAGTTGGAACTGAAGTGTTTTTTGTTACGCTGGTCATAGTGCATTCTCAGAATTATACTGGAAGAAGGAAATTGGCTTTTTTCATTTGTCAAGTCAAAATTAATGTGTTGACATTAGAAGAATACATAGGTAGTATGTGTACTTTATAGCATATATATGGCTGTGGCTCTTTTTTTTTTCTTAATTCTAAAATCCAAATAGAAATTATCTTGTTTTATACTCTTTTCCCCAGTACCTATTGGATTTCAAAATAAGTTGATAACTTTGTCAGATGTATCCATTTTTCTCGCTGTCATTTTGAGAAATGGGAGTAAGTTTAAGCTGAACAGGGAGAATGGATACCTCTGTGCTGATCTCCACTGTGTCACTAACTAACTGTGTGACCTTGGGCAATCCGCTAACTTCTGTAGACCTTGCAGATGAGGGGTCAGACTAGGTCAGTGGTCCCACTCTGTCGTCTCTCATGTCTGCCACGTGTGGGGACACGGCCCGGGAGCTGGCGGTCAGGATAGGCAAGAGCTGTGCTTCCCTCCAACCCCTTTTTATTTGACCTCCTAGACTTGTTCAATATTTTGTTGAAAGAAAAGATGCTGCATTAAGAAAGTTCTTTTAAACCATTGGGTTAAATAGCCTTTAAGGATCCTTCCAACTCTTAGAGTATAAGTTATTGGGAAGTTTTTCAGTTTTGTTGTGATTCACAAAATTTTTAGGAAATCTACATTATTCATTTCCATGGTTGTGCAAAATTCCTTTTGAAGAATGATTTTGTTATAAATTTCTTACAGTCTTTTTTTGTTATACTTTTTGTTTTGCCAGGCAGTTCTGTGTACTCTAACGTATGAAATTATTGAAGCATCCTAACAGTTCTGTGAGGTAGAGACTGTTAGAGTTCAGTCGCACACCCAGTAAATGACAGAGCCAGCTGTGCAACCAGCCAGTCTGGCTTTGAGTCCCTCACTTAACGTCCGTGCTGTGGAGGGTCCGGTGAAGAGTGCTTTTCACATCTTTAAGATCGGTAATCTGTAGGCAGAACATCAAACTAGCAATTATGTCTTTTTACAGGAGGTCGCTATGTTAAAGTCTGGGACATGCTGAAAGGAGGACAGTTGCTGGTGTCCTTGAAAAATCATCATAAAACTGTGACGTGTTTATGTCTGAGCAGCTCTGGGCAAAGGTTGCTCTCTGGCTCACTGGACAGGTTAGCATTTTCGTTTTCTTTCTTTATCGTTATTAGTGTACAAGTGTTTCCTGCTTGAGGAAATGAGTTATTGCTGCAGTATTGGGACAAAATCAATACTCTGCCAAATGATTTCTATTAAAAAAAAATTGTTGAGTTGAAAATAGTTTTGATCTTTTATTTACACATATACCAAACTTATTTTCTCCTTTGACGTAATTTACTGCTTTAACTTATACTTAAGGAACTTTACTGAACCATTCGAATGTTAATCTTCTAAAATAATAGTATTTTTTAAAAAAATCATTATATAATGAACTAACAGAAAAAGATCTCAAGAACTCAATCCCATTCACGACTGCAACAAAAAGAATAAAATACCTTGGGATAAATTTAACCAAGGAAGTGAAAGATCTATACAACGAAAACTACAAGACCTTCTTGAAAGAAATTGACGGCGACGTAAAGAGATGGAAAGACATTCCATGCACGTGGATTGGAAGAATACACATAGTTAAAATGTCCATACTACCTAAAGCAATCTACAGATTCAACGCTATCCCAATCAGAATTCCACTGTCATTCTTCACAGAAATTGAACAAAGAATCCAAAAATTCATATGGGGCAACAAAAGACCCCGAATTGCTAAAGCAATCCTGAGAAAGAAGAACAAAGCTGGAGGCATCACAATCCCTGACTTCAAAACATACTACAAAGCCACAGTAATCAAAATAGCATGGTACTGGTACAAAAACAGATGCACAGATCAATGAAACAGAATTGAAAGCCCAGAAATAAAACCACACATCTATGGACAGCTAATCTTCGACAAAGGAGCTGAGGGCCTGCAATGGAGGAAAGAAAGTCTCTTCAACAAATGGTGCTGGGAAAACTGGACAGCCACATGTAAAAGAATGAAAATCAACCATTCTTTTTCACCATTTACTAAAATAAACTCAAAATGGATCAAAGACCTAAAGATTAGGCCTGAAACAATGTCTTCTAGAAGAGAATATCGGCAGCACACTCTTTGACATCAGCTTCAAAAGAATCTTTTCGGACACCATAACTCCTCAGACAAGGGAAACAATAGAAAGAATAAACAAATGGGACTTCATCAGATTAAAGAGCTTCTTCAAGGCAAATGAAAACAGGATTGAAACAAAAAAACAGCCCACTAATTGAGAAAAAATATTCACAAGTTATTTATCCGACAAAGGGTTAATCTCCATAATATACAAAGAACTCACACAGCTCAACAATAAAAAATCAAACAACCCAATTACAAAATGGGCAGGGAACATGAACAGACATTTCTCCAAAGAAGATATACGGATGGCCATTTGACACATGAAAAGATGCTCATCATCACTAATCATCAGGGAAATACAAATCAAAACTACACTAAGATATCACCATACACCTGTTAGAATGGCAAAAATATCCAAAACCAAGAGAGACAAATGTTGGAGAGGCTGTGGAGAAAAGGGAACCCTCATAAACTGTTGGTGGGAATGCAAACTGGTGCAGCCACTATGGAAAACAGTATGGAGATTCCTCAAAAAGTTAAGAATAGAAATACCTTATGACCCAGCCATCCTACTACTAGGTATATATCCTAAGAACCTGAAATCAGCAATTCCAGAAGTTCCATGCACCCCTATCTTCATTGCAGCATTATTCACAATAGCTAAGTCATGGAACCAACCTAAGTGCCCAGCAACTGATGATTGGATAAAGAAGATATGGTATATATATATACAATGGAATACTACTCAGCCATAAAAAAGGACAAAGTCGTCCCATTCACAACAACATGGATGGACCTTGAGGGTATTATGTTGAGTGAAATAAGCCAGACAGAGAAAGACGAACTCTGTATGACTCCACTCATAGGTGGTAGTTAACATATGGACAAAGAGAACTGATCGGTGGTTGCCAGGGGAAAGGGGGGTAGGGGGAGGGCACTAGGGGTGAAGTGGTGCACCTACAACATGACTAATAATAATGTACAACTGTAATTTCACAAGGATGTTAACTTTTATAACCTTAATAAAAAAATCATTGCATATTCTAAAATATTTATAATGAGTATATATATTCTAGCTTATAGTCTTTAAAACTTCATGTAAAAATTTCAATACCTTAACGTGGTCCAAATATTTCTATTTTAAATAGGTATTAGTGTTCCATTAGTTCATGTTCTAGACAGTGCTGTCCAGTAGAAATAGAATGCGAGCTACCTATGAAATTTTAAATGTTTTAGTAGCCCCCACTAAAAAGGTAAAAAGAACTAGGTAAAACTAATTTATTTTATTTAGTCCAATGTATCTAAAATGTGTAATTTAATGTGTAATCAATGTAAAAATTATTAGTGAGGTGCTAGAAACAAGTTAGACATCTAATACGTGCCCTATGATACAATAATAATATTTTACAATGATTAAAGTGAAATATAGTTGTACTTAACAGAAAAATATTTTTCCCTGCCTCTCTTCTAAAATTTAAACTTAAGTTAATTAAAATTAAATAAAATAAAAAATTTAGTTCTTCATTTTCACTAGCCACAATTTGAGTGCTCAACAGCCACACGTGGCTAGAACTATGTTACCGTTCTGGAATTTACTTATAGTCGTCTTTTGTTGCTCATTTTATTTTCGTATTTCATTTTTTCACTGTTATAGAAAGTCTTAGTTTTTCAGCATGTTTACTGAAGAGTATACATATTTTAAAAGCTAGAAAGTATTTCTAATACAAAGGAATTTTTATGTAAATGTGTATAGCAAATTCTCTGAAATAGTGTTACTAGGCAATTTGAAACTTGATTTTTAGATGTGTCCCTTAAAAGCTAAGTGTAAGTTGCCTCAATTCATAGTAGTTATCAACCCAGCGTGATTTTTGCCCCCCAGGAGATATTTGGCAATGTCTAGAGACATTTTTGGTTGTTGTCACAACTTGGGGGCAGAGTTTTGCTGGAGTCTAGTGGGTAGAGGCTGAGGATGCTGTGAAACGTCCTGCAGTGCACAGAACGTGTGTCAGTAACGCTGAGGCTAGAGATCCCGCTCTCACTTCCAGTGGGCTTCCACTGATGCTGCTGCCTTACTCTCAGGTTTAGCTTCAGGTGGCCGTGGCTCATGGTCTGTGCTGGTGGCTAGTCAGTCTTTATGCAGACATTGTGGTTAGTGCTGATGAACAGTTCATTTCAAAAAGAGACTCAGCGATGAATTAGTTTGTAATTAATATTACAAATCGTTGTTTTTCTTCATTATTGTGTACATTTTAATATTCATATACTGACTTTCCAAAAAATAGAAAATTTGCTGTTTAACTCCTTTCCTAGATGATTTGTGACAAAACTTTCCTTTTTATTAGGAAGGTGAAAGTATACAGCACAACTTCCTACAAAGTGGTCCACAGTTTGGATTATGCGGCTTCAATTTTGAGTCTTGCACTCGCAGTAAGTAGTTTTAGCTGTTTTTAAAGCTTTCACTAACCTTGTCTGCTAAATGAAACTGAAATGGAATTTTAGGGTTTATCTTTGTATTTGAATAAGTCTTATTTTCTTCTTGCCACACTAGATAACTGAGTTGAGGCAATTGCGAGAATATCTGACCTGCCCCCATAACTTGGCCTGAGTTCGGTCTAGGTCTCACTCCTGCATAGCCGGAACCACGTACGGTGCTGCGGGCGCTGTGAGCACCTGGGCCCGCCCAGGAAGTTGAGTCTCTTCAACAGTGTAACCAAGGGTGCAGCGCTCCGGGAAGGCAGGTCGGCTCTCTGAGCAAAAAAAAGCAAGGGCAGCAAAATGCAATAGCTCCTTTTCTTTGTTGACTCCTCTTTCTGGAATTCCACCTTTAAGTCTCATGAGCCATCGAGGAGGAGGAGATTTGAATACATTATGTAGAAATTTGAATTGGGAGAGGAAAAGCTTATTACAAATATTACTACAAAATTATTTTTTACAAATTATTACAAAATATTTTCTTGGCAAGATTGTGGAAAGTCATGCCATCATATAATCCTTTTTCTAATAAGAAGCTGCAGGAAAAAAATTAGTTTGAAATTTTCCCAAGATGTCATTAACTGTGTGTTATTATACAAACTGACAGTGATAATTTGTAACAGGTATAATAAGTTCTGTCAACATAATAGTATGTTTGAGGAAAAAGTGATTTTGCTCTAAGTTTTTGCATAGATCATTGTTAGGCAGAGTATATCCAAATGGAACTCTTGGTGAAAGTGTGGATAAGTGGCAAACTCATTGTGATAAATTATGAGTTAAAAATAGTAAGAAAAAGTAAGGTAAGTTATGAGTTACGAATGGACTAACTTATTTTTCTAATTGCTGTTAGCATGAAGATGAGACAATAGTTGTAGGAATGACCAATGGAATACTGAGTGTCAAACATCGGAAATCTGAAGCAAAGAAGGATTCTCTTCCCAGGAGAAGAAGGCCTGCATATCGAACCTTTATTAAAGGAAAAAGTTACATGAAGCAACGGGTATTTGTGTATTTCTTACATTTATTTAAAGGTGAAATTTGTTAGAGTAGCTGACTCCATCTCTGCGTTACTGGAAAGTGTTGTTCACATAGCATTTAACTTTATTTTGCTTTTCTCCGCATCAGATTTATCTCCAGATTGCTGGATTGGGGACATTATTAATAACTAATGGGAAATAAGGGCTACTTTATTTAATACCCTGAATCATAACAATGGCATAGTGCTTTACCATGTTCAAAATAATGTCTTTCACGTGCTATCTGATCTGATCTAAATAGCCCTGAAAAGCAATAGAGCCAAGAGTGTCCCCATTTGGCATCTGAGAAGTGGAGATAGAAAGAATTTGTGGTTGATTCAGGATTTCGTTACTGGTAGCCAGAGTTGTTGGGACTAGATGGAAATTTCTCTGATTCTTGTTTTCCTTTTCTACTAAATCATGCTGCCTGCCACGTAAAGAGAATTGAAATGAGTAATGTTTGCCTAGAATTGAGGTATTGTGTATGTATGGCAAGTTAAAGTCATAGGAGAGTGAGAGCACATTGGTGTGGCAGGTTATTCCATTTTCATATAATCTGCATGATGGGCCTGCGACCATTATTTATGATATAATTCAGGGGCACCCTGGTATAAAAGCAAGCATACCACTGTGAAAAAGTGTATTTTAAATGAAACTCTATACAGATAATGATTTTTCCTTGTAAAATTTACTTTTCAATACAGGATGACATTTTGATCAACAGGCCTTCCAAGAAACACCTAGAATTGTATGACAGGGATCTGAAAAATTTCCGGGTCTCTAAGGCACTTGACAGAGTCCTTGAGGTGAGTGATTTTCTTTTTATTAAGACTTTCCTTTTTTAGAGCAGTTTTAGGTTCACAGCAAAGTTGAGGGGAAGGTACAGAGATTTTGCTACAGCCTCTGCCCCGCACATGCAGAGCTTCCCCCGTTAGCAACATCCGCCACCGGGTGGTCCATTCGTTACAATGATGAATCTGCAAGGAGCGTATATATAATTTTTTATTGAGGTCACATTGGTTTATAACAGTACGTAAATTTCAGATGTACATCGTATTTCAACTTCTGTATAGACTGCATCCTCCTCCCCAACAAAAGTCTAGTTGCCATCCATCACCGTACACATGTGCCCCTTTTCCCCTCCCCCTTCCCTCTTCCCCTGAGGTAACCACCAATCTGGTCTCGGTATCTATGTGTTTACTTGTTTGTTTATCTTCTCCGTCTGACGTATTTCACTTAGCATAATACCCTCAGGGTCCATCTACCTGGCACAATTTGGTCTTTTTTATGGCTGAGTGGTATTCCATTGTGTGTATATCTATCTATCTATCTATCTATCTGTCTATCTGTCTATCTATACCACATCTTCTCTATCCATTCATCTATTGATGGGCACTTAGGTTGCTTCCAAGTCTTGGCTGTTGTGAATAACATTGCAGTGAACATAGGGGTGCATATATTTTTTCATTAGTGTTTTCATTTTCTTTCGGTAAATACCCAGAAGAGAAATAGCTGGATTATATGGTATTTCTATTTTCAGTTTTTTGGGAAATTTCCATACTGTTTTTCATAGTGGCTGCACTAGTTTGCATTCCCACCAGCAGTGTATGAGGGTTCCCTTTTCTCCACATCCTCTCCAACATTTTTTATTTTTTGTCGTGTTAATTATAGCCATTCTGACAGATGTGAAGTGATATCTCACTGTAGTTTTGATTTGCATTTTCCTAATAATTAGTCATGTTGAAACTCTTTTCATGTGCCCCTTGGCCTTCTGTATATCTTTGGAAAAATGTCTCTTCTGCCCATTTTTTGATTGGGTTCGTTTTTTTCTTGAGTTGTACAAGTTCTTTATATATTTTGGATGTTAACCCCTTATTGGATATATGATTTTCCTGTATCTTCTCCCAGTTATTAAGTTGTCTTTTTGTTTTGTTGATGGTTTCCTTTGCCATGCAGAAGCTTTTTAGTTTGATGTAGTCCCGTTTATTTATAAGGAGCATATTTTTAGAAGAATCATTTTATTACCTGCCTTGTGTGTTACCATGACTCAAAACTGTGAAGATAAATACCTATTTAAATTTGGTAATTGTTATTGAGTTCCAAGACTATGATTTTTTCTTGTGCTGTCTTGTCTGCTCGCGTTGACTCTGAAAATCTCTCTAGCCCAGTTGTACAATAAAGACACCTGAGGTTACAGTTTCCATCATAAAGGAGCTAAACCGAAGAGGAGTCCTTGCAAATGCCCTTGCAGGTCGGGATGAAAAGGAAATCAGTCGTGTTCTTAATTTTCTGATAAGGTATGTTTTATGTCTATGAAACACATGTATTTGCATCTGAAATTCTTTATCTCCAAATGAGAGACATTTACTTTTAGTTAGATCTTTATAGAGAACTGATGGAACAATTCACTACATCTATTTTAAGGAGTTTTTTTAAAGTTTGCAAATTTCAGTAAACAGAATTTTTGCTTTTTAGGAATCTGTCTCAGCCAAGATTTGCCCCTGTTTTGATCAATGCTGCTGAAATAATTATCGGTGAGTAGGTGTTAAAACTTGAAAAATCCTAGCATGCTTGCAAAAGTAGAGTTGGCAAATAATGAAATAAAATTTATTGAAATATCTTGTTTTTAGCAATTCTCCAATAAATATTTTCATGGAGAAAACAACCAACAGTAAATTGATATGTTTTAAAATGGAGTAAAATGTTTACAGTGATTTGACTTAGAATTTCTGGAAGTGGGGATATTATAATTAAAAACATTTTTTTCTTCAATGTCTACAATGACCATGACTATTTTTAAGTGGGAAAATGAAAATAAGTCAGAACTCCACACTGCACTTTCTGTAATTCTTTTTGAAATAGGTTTATTCACACGGATTGTTTACTTTCTATAAATCATAAATTCTAAAATAAGTACAGATTTCTCAGTGTCTTTATATACAGTATTTTTACACTTTTTCTTAATATTGCTGTTCATTTAGAAAGTTATTTCTAGTGAATGTGTTCTTTCTCTTTCTAGATATCTATCTGCCTGTGATTGGTCAGTCACCTGTAGTTGATAAAAAGTTTTTGGTGCTTCAAGGACTTGTAGAAAAAGAGATTGATTACCAAAGAGAACTCTTAGAAACCTTGGGCATGATGGATATGCTCTTTGCTACCATGACAAGGAAAGACAGCACTTTGGTCTGGCAGCGCACGTCTGGTGGATTGCTAGAGAACAAGAAGGTGGAATCGTAGTGTCTGCTTAGTCAGACACAGAAGAACTCCTAGCTTGGATTAGATTTGATTCTATTAACTGTTGGAAAGAGAATCTCCTTGACACATTATAAAATACTATTTATAGAAGCAATTTTGTGAAAGAGATTGGAATAACTATGATTGGAAAATAAGTCCCAGTTTTAAGATGTGGCTTTTCATGTAATATTGTGGTTTATTTCATGGCATCCTTGGCTGAAAGAGCTCAGTTATTTTGGTCACGGTGTATGTCTACCTTGGCCAAGTCGATAGTACTTTTAATACAGCAAAGCTCTGTATCACGTTTGGGTCGGCATTCAGAACTCTGGAGAGGGCTTCAACTGGGAATCCTGCCACCAGAACAGGGCTTTAGTTTTTATTGCTGTCCTGGAAAAACAACAACAAAACAAATGGCAACAAGTAAATTCTTTGTTCACTCTGATCAGTGCCTTGGGGTTTCCAGGCAGTAGCTGAGCTTGCCTCCCCTGTCCTGGACGTCGTCACTCATCCTGGGTCCCATGTTCTGCTTCAGCTGGTGATAGGACTGCCCCCTGCTCTGTGTGTGGCGCATGCACGGCCAACTCTGGGTAACTGACACTAGTTAGCCAGGTATTCAGAGCATCATGAGGCAGATTGGAACCCTGCACGGCATGCTCTCCGCCCCAGCTTTTCTCTATTTCTTCAGTCGTGACTATCCTTCTCAGAACGAGATCTACAGACAGACCTTATTGGACCACGTTTTTCTCCTCCTCAATATGCAGCCTTTGTACCGAGTTTTCAGCTTGCTTGGGTCAGGGGATGTTAAATGTGCCGTTGCTCCATTGCTCTTGTAATAAAGAGCATCCAGCCTTTTACACGGGTGGTTGGCGCTTACCTCGCAGCTGCCTCCCCTCCGAAAACCGTTTGCTGTGTGTTTAGATTTGTTTCTCTGTTCTTCACAATCATCTTGTCTTTCAGAACTCCAAGCCAGAGTAGCTTGCTTTGGAAAATAGGTTATTTTTTTAAAGTTCAACGTAAATTACATTTTTTTATAAAGAGATTCTTACTTTCTTCTTGAATTTCTGAGATGTATCCAAGATGTATTCCTGCTGCCTAGTCACTGGCTAGCGCCTCCTGGCACCCCGATTTCACACTTACTACCTCTCCCACCTTCTCCCAGTTCCTCTGCCACTGTAAGTAGTTCTCTCTGTAGGGAAATGTGCTTTGGGCTGGAAGAACCCATTGGTCCAGGAAGATTTTGTAATGGGAATCTCCTCTTAAAATTTCAGTGTGGTGAATTCAGATTTTTTTTAAAGCAGAAAAGATATTTCTATGTTTTAGTAACAACATGTGCTCAAAAATAGGATCTAGTTTCCTCTTCACGAGTTGATGTAAACAGCCCTGCAGCAGATGGCTTTAAGAAACCAAGAAATTGCTCCCCTGTGTAATTAGGAGATTAGTCAAGGTCAGAAACTGTGTCTTCATGTTGAAAAGGGTTAATTTATTTAAATAAATTTTGTATTTAAAAGCTTTTTTAAAACTTTAACTTCACAAGTATGCTGATAATTTGAATATTAGTAAAACTTAGAAGTTGAAATTGTATCTTAAAACTAGCTGCCAACAAGCGTGTAACATGTGACAAGGGTTTTCCCATCCGTTACTTTATTTCGTTCTCACCCCAGCCGTCCAAGGCTGGTGTTCTCGTTTAACAGTGAACCGCGGCAGTGGTTACTTCACCTTTGAATTCTCCGAGCTTGACTACGCGTCATCCCCATGCTCTGGACTGGCCTGCCTGCTGGACAGAGACTCCTCACTCCCTTAACAGCATCGCCGAGTGCTGCCGTCCTTAGATGAAATGTGTAATGATTACAGGTTGTTAAAAGGGTCAGGAAACAATTCCCGTAGCCATCAATGCTTAGGTGTTAAATTCAGGAATGGTTTTTATAGTCACTGGGACAAACTGGCATTTGCTATTTGAAGTATTTAAACATAACCAGCACCTTACAGTAGGTGACATTGGCCTTCGGATTCTAATTTAAAATGCCTAACAGGTTTTTCAACTTGGGAATTTTAGTGGAAAGGTATTTTAAAATGTTACTAAGCCTGCAAAAATACTGAAGTGTTTCAGAGAACTTGGAAAGTCACTGTACATTTAATTTATTATATTTATAAGAGTTCAGTGCTTGAGAAGGTTTTGCTTGTTGGGTCAAGCATTTGAAATGCTATGTACAAGAAAACCAAATATCTTAAATGTGTAAATGCTGTTAAGTTGTTTAAAGGAATTTGGATTGTAAATGAGATTGTTTAAGGAAATTCAATCTGTTCAACTTAAATCAACTCTATCAAATGTTAATTAAAGGCCCCCTTAAAAGTGATTATATTAAAATGTACTAGTTTTCTGAATGGAATATTTGTTAGTTTTTTAAAAGCTTTAAGGAAAGTTTTAAAATGCTTAATTTTAGCAAGTAACCATAAATTGTCTTTCCTGTGGACAAAACCCCCTTTCGGACGCTAAAAACCCTCCTTGGTAAGTAGGTGACACGCCCTTCCCCTGCCGTCCCGTCCCCCCTGGACCGTGGCTGGTGCATCTGGGCCCAGCTCTCTCAGCAGGGACTTGTCACTGAGATTTATAACCATATTTGTGATCTGGGAAAGTGTGGGGCTGGCAGTGCTGTGTTTGGGTCATCAGCAGAGGAAGCTGGTCTGCAGAGAAAGTAAACCAGACAAGGCAGGTCAGACTAGAGAAGAGAGAAGCCATCTTAGTGCTCGTGGTTTCTGTCTCCCTTCCAGCTCCCCTCCGGCTCTGCCTCCCCCTCAGGGCCCCATGAGGGTCTGGAACCCTCCTGTGTGTGCTTTCTGCTCAGGTGAGTGCGAGTGGTTTCTCTTATTTATGACCGAATGACTCCAAGGACACTGGCTGACTGATCCTTAATACTCGTTGAGACACACACATTAGAGGCCAGGGGCCTGGGGTTACAGCACTGAACAAAATAGATGAAATCCCTGTTCTCTTGGAACTAACATCCTACTGGGAGAGGCAAATGTGCAGTAAACGAGTGAGATACCCGCTGGGTCAGACAGTGCTCGATGGTACGGAGTCCAGCAGAATAGAAGGCAGGGTAGGCAGGTTGTAGTTTTCAACAGAGAAGTGAGGGAAGGCCTCAAGGGGGCAACCATTGGACAAAGACCAGAAGGAAATGAAGAGGGATTCTCAGGGTCATCTGGGGCAGAGTGCAGAGATCTGAGGCAGAAACACGCCTGGTAAGTTTGGGATAGCTCGGTGGCTAATGGAGCTGATGGAGCAAGGGAGAGCAGAGTGGGGACAAAGTCAGGGAGTGGGATAGGAACGATTCGGGGCATTCAGGCAGCTGGTTGGGGAGCAGAAAAATGAAGCAATGGCTGGAGGGTTGTGAGGTCAAAAAGGTTTTCTAAAGAAAACAACTTTGATATGCAATCGATATGCTAAAAGCTGCATGTTTTAACAGTGTTCAGTTTGATTTGTTTTGACATGTACACGCCCGTGAAGCCATCACTACAAGCAAGATAATGAAGATGTCTGTTACCCTCAGAAATTTCCTCCTGCCCCTTCCTCAGGCGACCTCTGGTGTACTTTGTGTCACTGTTGATTCGTGGGTCAGTTTGCATTTGCTGCAATTTTATATAAATGGAATCACAGAATTTAGGATTGGAGGGCCTGGCTGCTTTCACTTAGCATAAATGTTTTGAGATTCCTAATTCGTTTGAGATCTAAACTGGAAGAAATTACAGAATGTAGGCTGATGGGGATAATTCTTTTTTTTTTTAAATATTTATTTGCAGTAACATTGGTTTATAACACTATATAAATTTCAGATGTATATAGTTATATATTTCAGTTTCTGTGTAGATTACATCATCTTCACCACCCAAAGACTAATTACCATCCATCGCCACACACATGTGCCTAATTACCCCTTTCACCCTCCCTTCCTCCCCCCTTGCCCTCTGGTAACCACCAATCCAATCTCTGTTGCTATGTGTGTGTGTGTGTCGTTTTTTTAATTTTCTACTTATGAGTGAGATCAAACAGTATTTGACTTTCTCCCTCTGACTTATTTCACTTAGCATAATATCCTCAAGGTCCATCCATGTTGTCACAAATGGCTGGATTTCATCGTTTCTTATGGCTGAGTAGTATTCCTTTGTGTATATATACCACATCTTCTTTATCCATTCATCCCTTGATGGGCACTTAGGTTTCTTCCAAGTCTTGGCTATTGTGAATAATGCTGCAGTGAACATAGGGGAGCATGTATCTTTATGCATTTGTGTTTTCAAGTTCTTTGGATAAATACCCAGCAGTGGAATAGCTGGGTCATATGGTAGATCTAGTCTTATTTTTTTGAGGAATCTCCATACTGTTTTCCATAGTGGCTGCACCAGTTTCCACTCCCACCAGCAGTGTATGAGTGTTCCCTTCTCTCCAAACCCTCTCCAACACTTGTTTCCTGTCTTAATTATAGCCTGATGGGGTTAATTCTGCGGAGAGGGAAAAACTGATGATATAGAAGGGAGGGCCCCTGCTGGGGCAGTGTCCTTGGGACAGGGCCTGGGGCCAGGTTCCCGGATGGAAGGGTTGGCTTAGACAGGGAAGTGAATAGTTGGGGCATGATTTAGGAAGGAAGGCAGAATGTATGGGCACAGATGCACTCAGGGGTGTAGATGTGATGGTGGGCTGTTGTGGAAGTTCTTTGCTGGATGCCTTTGTTGGAAAAAAAGATAACTGACAAACAGTTTGGAGGAGGTGGAGGTCAGCGGTGTTGGAAGTGTGAGGAGGGAACAGGGGATATGCAATATCCTAGAGGTCAAGAGCTCAGCTTTAGGAACCATCTGTTTGGGTGTGAGTCTCGGCTCAGCCACTCATTGGCTATGTGACTTTGGGCAAGTTATTTTACCGTGTTATATTTTGTTTTCTTCATCTGTTCATCAGACAAACTCACATGGGGTGGTTGTGAGAATTAGATGAGTTAACACCTCTCAAAGTACCTAGACTATTTCTGTTGTTGGCTACTGCTATTATTGGGGGAATGAATGGACTAGAGAGTGAAGTAAGATTACCAGCAGCATCACAGGGCCCACGTGAGGTTAGCATCAGAGATTTAAAGCCAGAGCCATCAGCATGATTGTGTTTTTCTCTATTCACATTCGGCCATGAGGAAGCGGACATCGAGGAGGCTGAGATGTGGACTTGACCAGCAATGGAGTTTTCATGGGTGAAAAAGGAACAAAAGTTGAGAAAGGAATGAGGGTGTTGGTGAGATTTATGTGAAGGAGTGGTGGTGACGGACCCTGGAATCTAAGCTGGGTAATTAAGAATCGAGATCGCAGGAGGATGAGGACTGAAAACACTGGATCAGTGGACCGCTGGTTTGTGGGAGTTGAAGAGCTGTGGTTTGTGTACCAGAGGTAGTGAGCTGGGGACGTGAAGGGAGCTGGTGAGAGAGTCAGGAGTTATGATAGGAGGAGTGTTGGAAAGAGTGACAGCAAGCCAGGAGCTGAAACGTTCAAGAAATGGTGGGGCGATCTGTGGAGGCCAACACGGTGCAGTGTTAGGTATGTGCTCAGTGGGGAGGCTTCCCTGGGGAGGAGCGAGGGAGGGTGGTGCTGAAGCAGCGTTGAGGGTCAGCTCCCCCACCGTTGGGGCAGCTGTGTGAGGGCTGTGGGGACAACGTCAGCAGCCCTTGGGAGACTGCAGAGGAAGCTTGCTAACACCACCAAGAGGCTGGCCTCCCCTCGCGCCTGCCTTCCAAATCCTGTGTGAATACATCCAATTGGTGGAACCCGATTTTGCACCCAGAGCACTATCTGCAAAGGGATCTGGGAAATGTGGTTTAACTTTCCAGTTCTGCAGTTCTGAAGGCAGCCTAGAAGGAGGATGGAGCAGAGGATAAGGAGGGCCATCCACACAACATGCTTCCCCAAGTAGGCTACCCATCTTTAAATGTACGTGTGTGCATACCTTCACTTCCAAACGCAGGGACGCGCTCTATACGTGCTGCTCTGCACTTCGGTTTTCCACTTACCGTATGTTAGAGAAAGCTCCATCTTAGTACAGCTAGCTCTGCTTTGTTCTTTTGTATGCTGGCCTCCTGTGTCACTGTGTGGATGTGCCATAATCAATTTAACCAGTCCCCTGTCGATGGGCGTTTAGATCGTTTCCATTCTTTTACAGTTACCAGAAACTCTGCACTGAGCAAGGATTTACATGAGTTTTTGTGCATTTTGAGGAGTGTACACTGAAATAAATTAAGATGAATTATTCTGATCCTACACAGCAAGTCTTTGTGTTCCCACCCAAAGTCTTTATCTGGTAATGTATCATCCAGGCTGCTCGTCTTCATCTAAGGAAACGCCATCCGTCTTTCCTGTCAAGGCTCCATTCACAGGTATCACTTCCAAGATGTGTTCCTTGAAGACTGTCTCTGCATCAGGGCACTTCGTGTTCCATAGGATGCCTCATCGCTGCACGAGGCAGGGCTACTCTTGGTCGCACTCTGCACGTAGTGACACTGAAGTGACACAGAAAGTTTAGGTGACTTGTCCAAACTCACACAGTTGGTTAGTGGCAGATCTGGGATTCAAACTCAGGCAGTCCGGTTCGAGAGTACGTGTTCCCAACCACTACAGGAACAGCATCTTATATTCTAGAAACGTGGAATATGTCCTTATTTGTCTTCGTATTCTTGACTTTACCCACCATACATAGCTGGTGCTTAGTGGACATGTGCTGAGTGAACGAATAAAATGAATGAATGCTTATTGGATCCAGCTTGACACTTGACGTGAAAGCAGCAGTTTGGTTATTGTGTACTAGATGAAATGGTTATATTATCATTTTTCTGAGAGCTACAACTCAAAATGTTTGGAGAAGCTGTCCTCGTCGCCCAGTGAGAGGTTTGATCAGGTGCAACTGAAGCTGTGCGTTAGGATGACTACTTATCTTAACCATTAGTCCGCGAGGTGGCGGTATTACGTCAAAAACCTTGACAACACTGCTTTCTCTGAATCAAGTTGGCGTTCCTAAGCTATAAGCTGAGTTCTCTCTGAAAACAACGGGGGTATTTGGTTATTGCTATGTTGACAAAGTGGCTTTGACAAAGCCGTCTATAATTATTATCAGGTGCTAACCAGAAATATGGAAACAAAATCTAACGAGGCCCTCTTTGAATTAAAGATTAAGCTTTTCAACAATGTGGATTAATGGAGAGAACATGAGCTATCTGATCCTGGGCAGGTCCCAGCTGCTCCAGGCCTCAGCTTCCACATCTGTCAAGTGGGCTAATACCACCCCCTGGCAGGACTGTTGTGAGGAGGAAAGCGACCAGGTATGGAAAGTGTCTCACCTGCTTTCTTGTGGCCTCCACGTGTG